GGGCGGGCAGGCGGGCGGGCCGGGAGGAGGAAGGGCATCGTGACCCCGTAGCCTCCCACCCACTGAGTCCACGGGGAGTTAGGGATGAGGCGAGGCCGAGGGGAGAGGCCAGCAGGAGAATGAGTGCCATCAGAGGGCAGGCCCCTGGGCACAGACCTCCGTTCTGCCTTGAGGGCTCCTTCCCCATCGGCACAGGGCACAGACCCCGGCCGTGGGTGAAGGGACCGCGACAGTCCCGGTCCTCCCCACACTCCCTCCTCACACGCACACAGAGGGAGTGCCCCACTGAGAGGGTTCGGGCCCTCCTCAGTGCCCCACTGAGGACGCGGCCCACCCCGTGCCCCACTGAGGACCCGGCCCACCTCGTACTGCGTGATGAGGCCGTTGGGCTCCTGGGGCTCCTCCCACTTGAGGAAGATCATGTCCTCCAGCGGAGTGAAGGTCAGGGACTCGGCTGCGATCCCGCCAGGCACTGCGAGGGCAAGGCGGGCAGGGGAGGTGGGCTTCAGAGCCAGGACCCTGCTCGGCCTCAGCCCTGCCCTCCTGGCTGCTGTGCTGTCTGTTCACACTCTCTGAGCCTCGGGCTCCCCAGCTGCAAAATAGGGATGACAGACCCCCCTAACTGGGGCCAAGTGATGCCCTAAGGTTGGCGGGGGCCACAGGCGCGCAGGGCCGGGTGGGGTGTCGGGGGGCGCCGTGCAGGCTGCACTCCACACAGCAGAGCGGGCACAGCCCCTGCTAGCCTCCGGGTTTCCAGAACACACCGGCATTGGCCGGAGAGTGAAAAGCAATACCAGCAGGTGCGGGGCCGGGCGGAGCCATCTGCCCGTCTAAAAAGTTGTCATTACACACGCAGAGTCGGCGGCAACCACACCGCACGCCCGGGGACACACAGCGTTTGGGCAGGCGGGTCCGCGTGGTCTGCCCTTCCTTTCTCTCATGACAGACAGGGAGAGAGGCAGGGAGTGCCAGAAACCTCGATGGCCTCCCCGTGCTGACCCACACGTCCCAGCCTGCAGCCAACGGGGCTGCAGGCGTGCGCAGGCACCTGCGTGGGGAGGCCCACCCTCTGGCGGCCTGCGCCACCACCCCTGGGCTGCTTGGGCTCAGCTTGGTTGGGCTTTCACGTGTACTCTTAATAGCAGGCACAGGAATTTCACCAAGGAAAAGCATGACCCTCACCCAGGAAAACACCTCGAATAGCCATTGTGGGGCAGCTGAAACCCCGAGGCCGGGGAGAAGCGGGAACCAAGAAAACCAGCAGGCTAAGCTGCCCCGGGTTCGAGCGGATGGTTTACGGCAGCGCCGCTCTCCCCGGCCCCCCAGCTCCGGGTGCGGGTCCTCCAGGTGCTGCTGCGGCCGTCCACGGGGACCGTGAGCTGCCCGTGTGTGGTGCCACAGGACGTTAGCTACACCCGTCCTGTGGCACCACACCGCTGCTGCAGGGAGGCACACGCCAGGTGACAGGCAGCCGGGGAAGCCCAGCAGGGGGTGTGCACAGGGCAACAGGCTCCGAGGGTTGGGGGGGGGGATCTCACCCCGTCCCCACTCCCACCCTCAGCAAACTCTCCACACAGGACACGCACACCCCGGGAAGTGGGGAGCCCAGGGCGGA